TTGCGTATCATTTTGCTGTTGCTCGACACTTTCCTGATTCCTAGCTTCTTCCGACGGCTTAGACACCGCAGAACTAACTTCAACTGTTGTTGCAGTGTCGTCAGCAGTTACATCTTTATTTTCAATCGTAGTGGGAGGTTGCGTATCATTTTCTTCATGCTGAGATTGCTCGACACTTTCTTTTTCCCCAGCTTCGTCCGAAGGCTTGGGTTCTGTAGAACTAACTTGAACTGTTGTTGTGGTGTTGTCAGCAGTTGCATCTTTATTTTCAATCATAGTGGGAGGTTGCGTATCATTTTCGTGTTGCTGAGATTGCTCGACACTTTCCTGATTCCCAGCTTCTTCCGAAGGCTTGGGTTCTGAAGAACTAACTTCAACTGTTATTGTATTGTTATCAGTGGTTACATCTTTATTTTCAATCGTAGTGTCACTAGTAAGAGGTTGTTTATCATTTTCTTCTTGCTGAGATTGCTCGACACTTTCTTCTTTCCCTGCCTCGTCGGAAGGCTTGGGTTCTGTAGGACTAACTTCAACTGTTGTTGCAGTGTCGTCAGCAGTTGCATCTTTATTTTCAATCGTAGTGGGAGGTTGCGTATCATTTTCTTGTTGCTGAGATTGCTCGACACTTTCCTGATTCCCAGCTTCTTCCGAAGGCTTGGGTTCTGTAGAACTAACTTCAACTGTTGTTGTAGTGTTATCAGTGGTTGCATCTTTATTTTCAATCGTAGTGAGAGGTTGCTTATCATTTTCTTGTTTCTGAGATTGCTCGACACTTTCCTGATTCCCAGCTTCTTCCGAAGGCTTGGGTTCTGAAGAACTAACTTCAACTGTTATTGTATTGTTATCAGTGGTTACATCTTTATTTTCAATCGTAGTGTCACTAGTAAGAGGTTGTTTATCATTTTCTTCTTGCTGAGATTGCTCGACACTTTCTTCTTTCCCTGCCTCGTCGGAAGGCTTGGGTTCTGTAGGACTAACTTCAACTGTTGTTGCAGTGTCGTCAGCAGTTGCATCTTTATTTTCAATCGTAGTGGGAGGTTGCGTATCATTTTCTTGTTGCTGAGATTGCTCGACACTTTCTTCTTTCCCTGCTTCTTCCGAAGGCTTGGGTTCTGAAGAACTAACTTCAACTGTTGTTGTAGTGTTATCAGTGGTTGCATCTTTATTTTCAATCGTAGTGGAAGGTTGCTTATTATTTTCTTGTTTCTGAGATTGCTCGACACTTTCCTGATTCCCAGCTTCTTCCGAAGGCTTGGGTTCTGTAGAACTAACTTCAACTGTTGTTGTAGTGTTATCAGTGGTTGCATCTTTATTTTCAATCGTAGTGAGAGGTTGCTTATCATTTTCTTGTTTCTGAGATTGCTCGACACTTTCCTGATTCCCAGCTTCTTCCGAAGGCTTGGGTTCTGAAGAACTAACTTCAACTGTTATTGTATTGTTATCAGTGGTTACATCTTTATTTTCAATCGTAGTGTCACTAGTAAGAGGTTGTTTATCATTTTCTTCTTGCTGAGATTGCTCGACACTTTCTGATTCCTAGCTTCTTCCGACGGCTTAGACACCGCAGAACTAACTTCAACTGTTGTTGCAGTGTCGTCAGCAGTTACATCTTTATTTTCAATCGTAGTGGGAGGTTGCGTATCATTTTCTTCATGCTGAGATTGCTCGACACTTTCTTTTTCCCCAGCTTCGTCCGAAGGCTTGGGTTCTGTAGAACTAACTTGAACTGTTGTTGTGGTGTTGTCAGCAGTTGCATCTTTATTTTCA